TTCATCATCAACCTAGTATGACTAGAGCGGTCATTGAGAACCCTGTCTCAATGACTATTCACGAGCGACTCAGTCATGAGTCGAACTCAAACCCTATCTAGGATCGAGTCGCGAATAAGGCTAAGAGCCGTGTATTGCAAAAGGGATCTGGTTCTGTTTGACTTCCTTCCCAATAGGAGAAGTATGATGTCATGGACCTAATGAACTCTCTGTTGATTGCATTGTAGATTAGGCGGCTGCAGAGTTCTCCATTTCCATAGGTCAACATGATGGATTCGAAAGTCTCAGTGGCAGCTCTGTCCAAGTGACATGCCTTGTTGGGAAGGGCATACTTTGACTCCACAGGATAGAGGAGAGCAGCATGCTGTGGGATTGTGCACAAGACTTCAGCACTGTTGGCATCAAACCTTCTCTTGCAACAGTCACAGACCATTGACATGACAATGCACCAAGATGGAGCTCCAGTGATGCCAAAGATAGGGAACAAGGTCTTGTTCTTTGACCAGTTATGCCTCGCATTCTTGAGTTGGCCAGAGCATCTTCCATCGGGACAAGGTACTGTAATTCCACATCGATTCCAGTCCACCAGGATTAGTTTCTGGCCAACAATAGAGTGATAGTGTGGGGACTTGAATTGCTCCTCTGTGGATGGAACTGTCATGGTGAGTCCTTCAAAGTGTTGGCTGAACAGTTGTGGATTTTTTGGCCTGATAATGGACTCTGACACGACTTGTGCCATTGCTAGCATTGCCAGTGGTGCTCCTTTGGTCTTGTGCTGTTCCACAAAGGCAGAATCCTTTACAAGAGTGGTTACCTTTTGACAAAGAGCTACTGGAGTTGTCTTGGTTGTGGATGTCTTCTGTTGCCGGATCTGGTTTGGTTTGGCTGTGTTCGTTCTAGCAGCGAAGAAGGCATCTCCATTCTCTCTTGTGGAATGCTTCCAGCTTCCTCTCTCATTCAGTGGAAGAGGAGCACTGAAGTGCCTTGTGAGTCTTCTGCTCTCTCTGATGGTTTCCATTGTCAGCTCATTCAAATGTCCTCTTCCTCTTGTTACTGTATTCTTAATACAGAGAACGTGGTGTGATCTTTTTGGGACTCTGAGACCAAGATGTCTGGCCTTACAGATGACACACTTCTTCAACGGATCAAAGACTTCTGCTACCTCTCCTCCCAGTGTTGTTTGGGGTCCTTCTTCTCTGGCTCTCTTGGATCTGTTGTTGTTGTTGGCAGCCAGTTGGTAGGCTCTCTTCTGTTGCGAGTTCCTCTGTTGACTTTGGCAGCCCATTCCTCCATTGTGAGTGGTAGCTGCTGCTGTTGCTGCTGTTGTTGCTGTTCCAGTCATGGTGGTGCTGCTTTTGGCTGAGATAATGACTGTCGAGTGAGGTAGTGGAGAGCGCCATTGTGGACGATCGGTGCCATTGTGGACGGACGATCGGCGCTTTCGGAATCCAAGTTTCGAGGTTCTCGAAAACAGAAAACGGTGACTAGATAGCACATTTCCTCCGTAATATCTATAAACGGTACGTTAAGTATATTTGAATCTTTGCTGACGCATTTGCTGATGTCATAGGTTGATTAGCCAATCAGATCACTGCCTTCTACCGCTTTTGCCCTCTCGCTGTGTTCCGGGTGTGGGCTGAGCCGGGGTTCTATCTTCGCGGAAACGTAAGCCCTCAAAGCTGCCTTGGGGGACGGTCTCGGCTTCCGCTCGCGGAAGTTTCCAATGCCGACCCACCGGCAGTGGTACCAGTACTGGTCAGTGCGGCAAATTGAGTCAACTGAATCCTGTTTTCTTTGTTTGGGTGGCATGTTGGTACCGCACATCATGACTGTGGGTATCCTGTAGCCACCATTACGAACAAAGAAAGTACACGTTTCTTCTCCAATAACAACACCCAGGCGACTTGCTGGCACTAGTAGACAAATGTGTGCACTTCGGTGGGCTTCGAGGAGATGGACGTGCCATCTCACAGTGCGGGACGAACGACTGTACTGTATGCTCAGGATTTGACCGCCGGTGGCAGTCTAAATTCGACAACGTTTGTCGACGGTGACTGGCCATTCTCAAGTGCCGGATGTTCCGGAACTGCTCAATCTACATCATGGTCCCGAATCTATTTCAATGAATCCGATATGGATCAATCAATAGTTGGCGACGTCCTGTGCTAGACGCGGGATGGCGTGTTGGGCAACATGGCCGTTCTCGTTCATTTAGCCATTCAGGTTGTTTGGGACGCTCCTTGTTTTGTTTAAACGACACGAGCGACCTTTGCCCGATGACCCGTGTTCTTCCCTGAAAACACGGACAACTCTACAAACGAAGGAACTGGGAGAGAACCTCCTACGATGGCTAGCTAGGCAACGAAAAAGTTCTATGCAACAAAACGCGTCTGTGGCTTCAGACATGAATTGATGACTGTTCCCAATGCACGAACCATATTTCGAAGCAGGAGAGTTCTGTGATATCAATCCACTCTGTAAACTGCGAAAATTTGATAGAAACAGCATTTAGTTTTTGATCATTGTTCACTTTTCGAAACTCAATGAATGAAAACACACATATTCATTGACAACATGGTTGCCGGGCCAACACCAGAATAAAGTTACCAGAAGGTTGCTCAGGAGCGAGCAAAACACGGAAATATGATACCATGGGTACCGGTACCATTCCTTTGAATTGATCATCATTTCTCTTCTTTGTTGTTGCAGCCAACACACTCTTCTTTGGAAACTAGTCTCCACTTGCAAGGTGGGTTATGGGAACATGGGAATGAGATCTCAATGTGACATGTTGGGCACATCAAGCTGGCACCACAAGAAGCCCTGGTCCATTTCTCCACTTTGGACATCCAGCTGTGGTGACCAGCAATGACACAGTTTGGAGTTTGACAGATTGAGACAATTGCATCCTGTTCATTTTGTTTGGGTGGCATGTTGGTTCCATGCATCATGACACTGGAAAGAGGAAAGCTATTCCCATGTCTGAGCACATCAGTCTTTTTAATGTTGTGGTTCAATTTCATGCAATGGGTCTTCATCCATGATTTCCTGGGTAACTCTATTGTTCCATGTTGTCTGACAACCCTAACCCAAGCTTCATGGAAGCCCTTCTCCACATGATGCTGGTTGTCCAAATGGGACAGGATATCAGCAACACTCTTGTCCTTGGTTTTGGTGTTCTTGAAGGATCTAGACTGCTGGTAAGCATTGTCGGTATTTTTCATGGTTTTCCTGGAAGGTGATTCTTCTCCCTGCTGTTCCACATATTTTCTCTTGGTGTCCCTTGCTGGTGCAATGGTAACCACAGCATCACCAGTAGCCTGATGGATTTTTGCATTGGTTGATGATGAAATGGCAGATCCAAAAGTCTCATTTCTGGTGCCATAAGCCCCATCGCAGCTGCTACAGCTTTGATTGGATGCAACACTCCATTGGCATGGAGGATCATGAGAGCATGGGAGTGGAATTTCAATATGACAAGTACAGCACATTAATTTGTTGCCACAGCACTCCCTGGAAAGTTTCTCTCTTTTGGGGAGCCAGCGATGATGGTTGGGAATAATACAGTCTCGAGTTCTGCAAATTGAGTCAACTGCATCCAATTTTCTTTGTTTGGGAGGCATGTTGCTGCCACACATCATGACGGTGGGTAGATTGTAGCTACCTCCAAAGACACTAACTCGTGCCCGCTCGCTGTTCAATTTCATGCAGCGTGTCTTCATCCACGGTTTCTTTGGAAGTTTTACTGTTCCATGACGCCGAATAAGTCCAACCCAAGAATCTTGATACATCTGCTTTGCAAGAGATATTGCAATAGTCTGGTCACCATCCCGTGTGTTTCCTCTCTCAGACTCATTTTCCGAAGATTCACAATCTTCCTGTTCTTTCTTTCTTCTCTTGAAATGCTTTTCAGAGGACATGATCTTGCAATCCTCCTCCTTGGCCTCCCTGGATCTTGGTGATGGCTGCTGTAGCCGTTTCGAAGTCCGCAAGTTGCAAGAGTATCTATCTTTTCAAAGTAAGCCCTCAAAGCTGCTTTGGATGACAATGCCCAGGAAGCAAAGACGTCCGCCGCAAGAGTTGTGTTCAATTCCTCATGCCACAGTGTTCTAGAGTGGAGTCCATCCATTCACAGAAGCTTGGGTGATTGAACTGTGGGGGCTCCAGACTCGGATATCTTAGGAGCTCACATCTCTAATTCATGGCACAGTCTATGCTAGCTAAATAATGTCTTGGAATACGACTGGTAGCAATAACTTGTCTACTAACTTACTGTTGCTGGCTTGACAATGGCATGCTTTGTATGGCTATCCACAAATTCCACCTGTACATGCGGACAATATCTCTGCAACAAATGAATGAGCTTTCGACATCCATAGTGTTTGGGTTTGGGTAACGGTTGATGCCAATTTTTGGCATATTCATGTGGCAATTGTGCCAACGCCACTTGTTGTTGCGGTGTGTGTAGTAACAGTCGCAGCAATTTGGTTTCAAAGTCTTGTAGTAGTAGTAGTAGATCACCGTCATCGTCATTATCATGAGTGTGAATTGTGGAGGTTTGCTGTTGTTGGTGGTGGTGGATGGCATTTTGTTGCTGTTGCTGCTGGTGCCATTCCTCGGTCCACTTTACGCGGGGCCATTCCTGGAGAGCCTGATTCCTGGACAGGAATCGAATTTGTACGTCCCAACTCTCCGGATTGTCCCACCAACACATGAGCAGTGTGTACGCTTGTTGTATAGAGCTCCATTTTTCATGGTAGATTTCACTGTCTGACGGATGATGATGGTCTGGATGGAATTGCGTGGCCAGTCTCAAAAAGGTTGTCCGAATCGTCTTGGTGTCGGGTGGCAGTGGTGGCTGTTCTCGTGAATGCTGTAGTTGCTGCAGTTGTAACCCCAACGTTTCGAGTGATTGGAATAGAATGGGGGAGGCGTATTGTCGCAGCCATTTGGCCGTCGTATGGGATTGTGTCCGTTCCGCACAATCGGCTGCCGAATTTCCTTGATGGTCGCGTCGATTGTCCATTTGACCTTTTTGGATCACAAGGTATTGTACCACTTTTAGATTGCCCGCATAGGCAGCCTTGTGCAGAGGAGTTTGTCCATGATTGTTGGGACCATCACAAGCAACGCCATGAGTTTCAAACAGCCATTTGCAGGTCTCCCGTATTCTCTGTTCTTCTTCTTTTTGTGATGGTTGTGTATTTCTTAAAAGAGGGTATTTGGCCAACCAATGAGCCAATCCACATCCCCACTGATTGACATAGTGAACATTGGCTCCCAATCGCTCCAATAATTGTGCCGTCTCCAAATGACACTGCCAAATGGCCAACTGCAGAGGCGTCACTTCTCCTTTGGCCAGTACGTCTACGTGTATGCCAGCTGGAACGACCAGATAGTGGCAGACAGTATTGTGGCCATTCCGAGCGGCCCAATGAAGTGCCGTTCGACCATTTCGTTGACACACGGCAAGTGCATCCAAACCAACGGTTTCCATCAAATAGCGAACGGTCGCCAAATGCCCTCCACCAGCGGCATAATGCAAGGCAGTGCCATCGTGTCCATCGTTGGCATTCAATATCTGGGCTGGAGAGAATCGCTGTTGCAGTTTTGTCAATGAGCCCTTCAATGCCAATTCCAGAATTGTGCTACTACTAGTACCGGTACTATTGCATGTAGTTGCACTGGAGTCAGGTTCGACGTGTACTACTGGTACCATAGCATCAACATTCCCAACAGCTTTGGTCGTTTTCCTCTCCTTGGTTGGCTGCAGTTGGTTTCATCGGGCAGGCAGCCGCCCGATCAAAACGGCGTGGCCTTGTAATAAGCTGTCAGAGCGGCTATTCGAATGGAAAATTCGATCATCAGTCCAATCGGATGCATGCAACTCTGTGAAATGTTCGTGCAGCCAACGTACTGGTACTCTAGAGTACCGGTAACCACCCATGTGACATAATATGCATTACAACCAGGCATCATCAGACTGATCGTATGATTGGTTTGTGGCTGGCTGACTGGCTGAAAACGCTGCTCCTGACCTGCCTTCTCTGGCTACGACGGTAGCTGGTCTGGGGTAGTATTGCTGTTGTTAACATGTATCGGTAGCATGCCGTCAAATCATAACTCAATGGCTGACTTGACTTGTAGCAAATTGACAAGATTGCACCCTACTACCTTTGTCTGGGTCAGCCATGCAAGCAAGAAACAAGTCATTCTACTCGCATGCAGAGCGAACACAAGCAAGCAAGTTGGCTGCACGGTCAGGTCAGTCCATTCATTCGGTGAGAATGCCTCCAATTTTCGCTGCATGTTGATACGACTTTCACTCGAATCGAATACAACCTATTATATGGTCATACCGGTACAGTAGGTACAGCTCTTTGGCAACTTTGAGCTTTTTGATTGTCATAATCTCGGCTGTGTACTCTACTACAGTACGGTACAGTAGCTATCTAGCCGGTAGCTTGACTCGACTCGACTCGACTCAGCAATGCATCGAAGTGGCGATGTTGGAATTTGGAATGTGGAAGTGCGGTTTGTACCGGTGTACCTTTTACGGTATCAGCTGAAAAGAACTTGGGTCATGGCTGTGTGTGTTCCAAAAGGTCATTGATCATTGATGGTGAAGATACTTTTAACAATCACCATGACAGCCAAAAGATACAAGAAGGCAGAAGGGGTATTTTCAATAAGCATTAAACGTTCTCAAGAAACTTGTGCAGATCAAAATGGGTTATAAGTCCTGGGTTGTCGTAGATCTTGAAAGGCCGTATGATATTTAATGGAATAGGCTGAATAGTACTGTTTTGTGTTAAGTCTGGTTAACGAGGAACAGAAAGCATTGATTCTAAGCGGAGAATTTTAATTATTGTGTGCTTCCGTAGCGTGGAATAGGGAATTTGGGATCCTCATTTTGGTACCACAAGTACACGTAAGAGAAAATGTGGAGAACCCTTTCTGCCGTTCTGCTTTCCAGAAGCAGGGAAAACTAAAAATATCTCTCTGAGTATCTTTGTGTAGAACAAGTAGTGAATTGTACGTAGATCTTGCGGTCATGCAGACTTGCGCGATTCCGAGGTCGGAGACGGGTTTCATCGTCTTGCCTGAACAGCTTGCAGAAGCCAGCCAAAGACACGGACACGCTGCCATCATCAGGGAAGAAGGAATCCAATCTGGTTTCACGCTCTGTTCATCGCATTGCTTGCCAGGCCATCAATTGTTGCGTGAGTGATGGCTGCATCGATTGAATTCAATTCAATCCAAGAACACACCCATCAACCACCCATCAAACCAGACTTACAACTTAACTTGGTCAGTGGTCATAGATCTAGCTAGTAAAACCAAACCAAAACACTTCATTGGCACTTGCTTGTATGCTAACACAACACAGCTCTCTCTCTCTCTCTCTCTTTCCATTGCTGATCAGATCAGTCTTTCAAGTGATCTTCTCCATTGAAACCCTAAGTGAAAGATACCAAGTTCCGCAAAAGAAAGCATTCTATTGCAATTCAAGATGAGCGCCAGTATGAGTATGAGTCTGAGCGACACCGGCAGTGAAAGCAGTCTGCTGGACGAAGAGCGTCCCTTTTTGGTGTCTTGCAGTACAACTTCCACAAGTACTACAAGCTCTACAAGAACCAACAGTCCAACCATGATGACAACAACTTCGTGCATCATCTCCACTACAGTGGCGGAAGACCAAGAAGACGCCGCTTGTTCTGCGGCAGCCCAAGCATTGCTGAGTCGTCAATTGAGCGTGTCGCATCGCATGCGTGTCTTGACATTCTTTGCGGCCATTGGAGGATTCCTGAGTGGCTATAATACCGGTGTCATTGCCGGCGCTCTATTGCCACTCAAACGAGTCTTTGATTTGAGCAGTGAACAAGAAGAAGCCATTGTCAGTGCGACGATTGTGAGTGCTTGCATCGCATCGATTGTCGGAGGAACCCTCAATACGTACCACGGACGACGGGGGACGCTATTGCTGGCCGCCGCCATTTTCACGGGAGGCGCACTGTTGTTGTGGACGGCACAGAATTACACTTGTATCCTCATTGGTGAAATTCTGTTGGGCATTGGCATTGGATTGGAAAGTCTCACATCGCCCCTCTATATTGCCGAAGTGGCCAAACCTAGTATGCGCGGCAAACTTGTGTCGGCATATGCCCTCATGATGTGCATGGGACAGTTTGTGGCGGGAATCATGGACGGTGTCTATGCACATCTACTGCCCGATGGATGGGCGTGGAGGGCCATGTTTGGAACGGCCATGGTCCCCGGCATTGTCATGTTTACCGGGTTTCTGGGATTGCCCGAATCACCCAGTTGGCTCATGATGGCATCTACTTCTACCAACAATACAAGTTGTAGTATGGAGCAACAAGCATTCACTATACTGCAATCCGTCCGTGACACGGATCAAGAAGTCGAACTCGAATTACAGTCGTTACGACAAACGGCACGTCATGTTACTACTACACAAGACAACAACACTCCTATCAATCACAAGACTTCCATTCTCACTAGTTTCACACAAATGACTCGAGACGTGGCCACTCGCAATGCCCTCTTGGTGGGATGCGGACTCATGATTCTCCAACAAATCTGTGGCGTCAATGGCGTACTCTACTATGCCGCCAGTGTCTACGAAATGGCAGGATTCGATGAACTCACCAGTATTTGGTTGTCCGCCTTTACGGCATTTGCACAAATCATTGGATTGGCATTGGCGGTCGTACTCATTGAAACGGCGGGGCGGCGCGTCCTCGTACTCGCGTCGTTGTGTGGCATTGGATTGGCATCGCTGGGATTGGGATATTCCTTTTATGCCGCCCGTATCTACTCGCCATCCACTCTCTATATCGATCCCGCGTGTGCGGCACAACCGGCACTTGTCTGGGATGGCATTACTCGCAATTGTTGGGATTGTACCAGTATTCCTGGATGTGGATTCTGTGGCAATGCATGTGTGCAAGGCACACCCGATGGACCACTGTTCTTGACGTCCAGTGAATCGCAATTCTCGTGTCCTGCCGATACGGATTGGTCCTACAATGTCTGTGAAAATCCATACGGATACCTCTCGGTGGTATTCATGGTCGTCTACCTGATTGTCTTTGGTATGGGCATGGCAGGGTTGCCATGGACGGTCAATTCCGAAATTTATCCCGTGCGGTTCCGATCCCTCGCCGTTTCCTTTTCCACGGGGACCAATTGGCTTTCCAATTTATTGGTGTCGTCCACGTTCTTGACCATTAACAGCCCCGCCGTCCTGACCAGTTATGGCAGTTTCTATCTGTATGCGACACTTTGCTTTGTGGGAGCTGCCACCATGTACGTGTATCTACCAGAAACCAAGGGACTTTCCATGGCACAAATTGAAGTGGCATTTGAACATTTGGGCAGTAACACCAATACGACAACACATGCAACCACCATTACTGGCGAACAAGCACCCCTACTTTCTTCCCACAAATACGATATCGATCCACAAACGGGTGCCTTTGGAACTTGCAAATCATCGTCTTATGGAACCAGCAGCAAACAGGGCGATGCCACGGTGCAAACCTGCGATTCTTCCGATGCCGAAACACCGCCCGAGCCGCTCTAGTCATGATGCGCACCTGCACACGATATCATTCACAAACTACAACAAGCAACAACGACAACATGTCAGTGGGAATACAGCCAGTCAAGTCAGTCAGTCAGTCACCAAATGATGGACGCAGCATCATTGGGGCACAAAGCACACTAAACAACTTCCACATGCACACCACGCACTCTCATAATCCTTACTTCCTTTCGTCGGTACTACAGTGGAGACCTTACTCCGCTGCTACCGGACGGTCCAAGCCAAGAACTCCCCGAACCAAGCAGGCCTTCGGCAATCCAAACAAACGTTGTGGCACACACAGAGCAGGCCAAGCAGGGGAGATGACCAAGGGCACTCCAATCAACAAGCAACAAGCAACCGTACAACATTACAGCCATGGCAATGGACTGGACTGGACGGGAAAGCAGAAACACCACTACAGGCACCATCCACATTCATTGTACAAGTTAGAGATCTTTATACTCCTGGAATATTAATTAATAATTCTATGCATAGATTCAAAAGATAATACAGACAGTTACTACAATGCATCTCGCTGAAACTTGCATGTGTTGTCTGTCTACAGGCAAGAGTATCGGTATAACCAGGAGTCAGTCGAACATCATGACGAGCCCCACAACGGAGACGTGGACACACACCAACGCGAGGACTCGACCCCAGCAGAACACTTGTTGAGTTTAGGAGCTACATCAAGTGGCTGTGAGCTGCTGCTTTCCACGAGATGTTGCAACCACCATCATAATAATATATCGTCGCTTTCCCTTTGTCACTTAGCTACAATGACTGATTGGCATGGGGGTTGTTTCCAGCGGTGTGTTATACCCGGACGGATCCTCCTGCTGCATGACACTCAACTAGACCGCCATAATGCAGCGACACTAAAAACCCTTCGCTTTTGCAGTTTTTGGATATACGTCCGGTTGCCGCTGAGGACTGGCTCGGCTCAAATGGTATCGGGGCTACTAGCATCCTCTGGTGATCTGATCATTGCACCAAGTTTGCTTCCGTCGAATTACATTAACAGTCAAGCACCACCTAAGCTTGCAATACTAGTGCTCACTCCATTTTGCGTGGCCAACCGCCCTGGATGACTATACTATGTCGCCGTGTTTGGGATATTTCGCAGGCTAGTCCTTTCATCCAAGGGTAGGACGAGAGTGCCCTGTTCACGTATAGTGATGCAGGGGTGTGCCAGCTGCTCAATGAACCCTGCCCAATCATCGCAGTCTGTCTCTTGATTCCCCAGCACAGTAGAACAACACCAACGCACTTGTTGGACTTTCAATAAGCATGGTAAAGCCGGTACCCATTCCGTTCATTTGGGTTGTCTCACTTGTTTTGGGACGTTGCTCTTGTGATGAACAAGAATCAACCCCCCTGGCACATTAACTGTAGAAGTTAGAACCACCGTCTCTACAAGTACTGGTAGCACCAAGGCATGGGCTGTCATGGATGCATCCGACGTGACCATTCGTTGAAGAAGAAACAGTGCCGGTTTGAGCAAGGGTACATCGCACGGTACAACAAGAAGCCTGGCCCTGGCTGCTTCAGTAAATAATCCACCTAGACTACCGGTACAGAATCTCGTGCTCTAAACACCCTTAGAAGTTGAAAAGAAATCAAAGTGGGACTGCCTGCCGCTGTCCAGTCGTACCCTCGGTATGTGTGACCGAAAACTAGATGAAGCTTTCTCTGCCATACGTACCAGAACCTGTAGCGCTCATCTTTACAACCTTCAGGCCTCAAAATAGTCAGGCGAAACCTCAGCAGCAGCGTTAGATTCCGACGCTGCCTTGGTGTCGGATGCGTTCTGCATAGCTTTCATTCCTGATAGGGTTGTGTTGGCCGTTTGCTGCTCTCTGCGCAATCTCATTCGAGCCTTGACTCCAATGTATCTGCCGGTTTCCATGATAGCTGACAATGCAGTAAAGACAATGGAAACAAACGCCAGAATCGATCCGCCAATGCCCAAAACGAAGATATTGGCAGCAGCAAGCCTCCAAAGTTTTCGAATCCTCTACAATGGCTAGATTGACAGATGCAGTCGCGCTGAGATCGTATTCAATCATGTTGTTGTCCTTCTCCCACTCAATCATGGAAATCTTCCAACGACCACCAGCTAGGATGGACGTGCATAATTCGATATAGAACCTCATTGGATTTCCGTTCGATTCATTGATGAACCTTTTCTCCCGCTTTGTAGAAAACTAGAATTCTTCCGCAACCAGCATCTTCCATTGACCAGTGGCTGAATAATAGCCTAATCCCAGAAGAGGATCCAGTGGCAGTAAAACGAGGCGAAACAGCTTTCAAGAAGAACAAAGCTTCCAACAAGGGCCCAAACTAGGCCGAGGCTGCCGTAGGCGAGGCGAGACAACTGGGATTTGCCCCCCGTCGGTTTCTTGGAAATAGCCATGCCCTCATGGATAAGACGAATGTAGCCATGGATGGCCCAAAATCCAACACCTGTATGGAACAAAGTGCCGTAGTCTTCAGCCCCCGGATACTCTCCGGCGACCTGAATGATCACCAGAATATCCGACAGCAAGTCCAGGGAAGCAATCAGTTCCACCACAAAGGCGCCATCGCATGTGCAACAGCCAAGTGAATCCATGGCTATCATGGACACTAGCTAGCCAGTAGGGACAATTGCTGTTAGGATGTTTCTTCCTTGCAGGTCAGCAATTTACTGGGGTCTGTTGGGTTCTTTCTCTGATGAAGATCGCGCATTCGGCTTCGGGATCGCGCATTTGGCTTCACGTTTCCGGTTGACACTTGTCCCCGGTAGCGAAGTTCGGTCGTCAATGCAAGCCAGTGGAAACCAACCGACACAATCAAACTACACCATGCACAACTTGTTGCAAACTTGAATTCAATCCTTTCTTGCACCCTGCTCTCGGGCTTCATCGTCATTTTTGTATCTTCGTTCAAGTGTACCGTACAAGAAAAGTTTGTTGACTGCGGCAGCTCTCTCTTGGTGAAAAGAATGACCTACCACCTAGCTAGCTAGACTAACGCTTGCATACGGTAAGGTGCGGTACTAGTACTAGTACACATAGTACGGGCTTTGGTCTTGGATCTTTCGCAACCTTGCTTAGCCTTCCAAGCTGCTTGGACGCTACCAGGTAACGCTAGAGCAGTCAACCAGCCACCAAAAGATCAAAAGATCCACAAACAGCAATAACAACCCAAAGCCAGCATCCTATCATCGATATCAAAGCCCTTCGCAAAGATACTTATCATAATTGGATTATTCGCTAGTAGTAGGCGAAAGCCAGCAGAAGGCCAGGCATAATTGGATTATTCGCTAGTAGTAGACGAAAGCCAGCAGAAGGCTAAGCATTTAATTAAAAGTGGAGATCTGGCCGCTGGCTGACAGCGAGCGCAACGAAATTGACCATGTCCTCCAAGAGAGGTGTCAAGAGACAGCCCAAGGCATTGGAGGAGGATGCATATTGTGAAAACGAATCCAAATCCAATGGTGATAGCGAGGATCGACGGGAAGAAGACCAGTCTACACAAACCTCTCATGTGGACAAAGTACTATTCCGCCAAGCCTGGGTTAGGGCTATTCAACGTACTGGAACAACAAAGCTGCCCAAGAAATCATGGATGAACACTCATTGCATGAAATTGAACAGCAACCTGAAGTATGTTCAAGTGATTGGACATGGGCATGGACATCGTCTTGCCACTGTGATGATGTGTGGCACCAGTGTTCCTCACAAACAAAGGGAAAAGGATGCAGTTGATTCAATTTGTCGAACCACATTTTGTATTGTTCCCGATCATCACCGCTGGCTCCTCAAGAGTGAGAAATCTTCCAGGGAGTGCTGTGGTGACAGATTAATGTGTTGTATTTGTCATCTTGAAATTCCTTTGCCTTGTTCTCACAAGCCTCCTTGTCAGTGGAAAGTCATTTCCAATAGTGCTTGCTCAGACTGCAAGCGGGATGCAGATCAAGATGAAGTGGAGACTGTTGGGTCCAACAAGCAATCATCGACAAACTTGTTGATGCGTGGAATAAGCAACAGATCTGCAATAACCTCCAATGACATCTTCAAGTCCTCAGAAGAAAATGCCAAAAGAAAAAGGAACAGCAAGGGAGAAGAAAAGGAAGAAGTCAATGGCAATCTGCATGCTAGCAATGGTATGTCTCACATGGACAATGAGCTCCACAAAGCCTGGATCAGGATGATTCAGAACCAGGGGACAACAAAGCTACCCAGGAAGCCTTGGATGAAGACCCATTGCATGAAATTGAACAGCAATCAGGCACACGTAGGTGCCCTTGGAAGTGGAAGACTGGTTTCCACCGTGATGATGCGTGGCACCAACATGCCAGGCAAACAATACAAACAGGCTACATTAGATTCTGTTTGCCGCACACTAGGCTGTATCATTCCCAATCATCATCGCTGGATGTCCAAGGAGGAAAAATGGTCCAGGCAGTCCTGTGGGGCCAGCCTTATGTGTCCAGCATGTCATGTTGAAATCCCTTTGCCCTGTTCCCACGACCCCCCTTGTAGATGGAGAAGTGTTTCCAAAGAGAAGTGTTCAGCCTGTAAGAGCCAAGAGTAAAAGTGTGATGTGATTGCACAAGGGAGACATGCACAGCAAGTAAGTGCATCTACAAAACAATTTCATTTCTCTGCATACTAACTGGCTCGTAGCTAGACTCTTCCAAATATTATTGCGTTGCTTAGCTGCGAAGAAATTGACAGAGCTGCCAAATTGGACCAGTTCGATGCCCCAACTCCATGGTTCGCGACCAGTTAGTTGTGGGGCTGCTTTCAGTCCAACAATGCACCTCTAGTTTACTTGCAATACCATCGTACTGGTACGGCGGGTATGTTGTGAACAATGGACAATCTGCCACGCTCCAGTCAGAGCGAACTCTCCCAGCCGCCCTTGCTTTAGATTGCGGTCGAGCAATGTATTCTCCGATCTCTTGGTGCACCATTCGATCGCCCCAAACAAAGCCAGCCACAGAAGCACCAAGCAAGCACAGATTGCAAAGATCCAAACCTGTAGAGGCATCGGACCCGTAGCAGCTCGTCCTTGTCTCCTTGTTTTCCCTGGCAGATGCATTCCAACTGACGAAGTGATGAGTGCAGCTCGTACGAACAACCTACTTTGACCGAATCGTCATCTTACTCAAGCTGTGGAGGACACAATGTCCTCGACTTACTGGCTGATGGTGTGTGGATTTGTGAGAGTGTTTCATCGTCCCCGATACAGGACACAGAACACAGAACACGGTCTCGACGAGCAAACCGACTACACGGAGGAAGGAAAGAAGCGAAGGCAAATGCTTGACACATGCATGAACGAGTTCCGCAGAGATCGAGCCACATACCGGTATCGCACAATACGTACCATATCATCAAGAAAGGCCACTCGACGCCATGAACGGCGAGTGGGCATTGAAACTGTTGCTTCAAAGCCATGAAGCATGCCGACGGAAACTTCCATTGGAGATACCAGAGTGGGAACGCACTCTTGATGAGACCTCCAAGCATCAAGCAACACCTGTGGTGCGGGAAAGCCCTCAGAGCTGTGCTTTCAACGTTGCCATGGTGAATGCTTCGAATTCTTGCTCTGGTTGCCTGCTGCAGGAGATTGAGGCGCAGGTTGAAGGTTGACGTGCAGGTTGAAGGAACCATTGGAAAGGATCTCCTCCTTTGCGTTTACCCCAGTACCGGTACGCATCATGCAAAGGAAGCAACTTTTCAGTTTCAACCGCCCTGGGACCTGGGACCTGGCAAGCAACTTCAGACCTGGCAACGGGGCCCACACATACATGTATCATCCCTGGCTACCTACTGCATATGGATGTCACTCCAGCGACCTCTTGCTTCTTCAATAAGCGTTCAGATCTCGACAAAGTAAAGCAACTTGTAGTAGCCCGGGCAGCAATAAGCAAATCGGTACAGCCTACGAACTGAGACTCAATGCGATTAAAGATGATGATGACCACATGAATCTCTCTTGCACGTATAGCCCACTGCGAAAAACGCGACCTTTTGGTTGTAAAAAGCTCCTTTGCTACTCCTTTGCTGTGGTCGATGAACCATGGTCACTTTGCCAGACAAGGCTGCAATAACAACCTTCAGTTGCCGGCAACCCATCGGGCTGTTTGAAGCTCCAGATATTATAGTGCTGCAATGCTGCTGCAAAAAAGTGGTTTCGCAAGGTTCATCACGAGAAACCATTGTTCCAGAGTTCCACAGCTTTACTTCCGTGCAACTCGAGTGTGCGTAGATAGTGCTCCGTGGTTGGAGTTCTTTGCTCAGTAGAAATTCTGTTTTTACTAAAGCCCCTCAGTTAACGATTTATCTTTCAATGACTTGTGACCCAAAAACTTCCCCCAAGGTCATTGAAAAATGCCTTCGTTGAAAGTGTGTTAACTCGTGCACCTTTAATCTCGACGAATTAGGGTTTGAGATAAGAGTTGGACTCCCACAACACCTCCTTTTCAAAGTGGACTTGGGTTCCACAGCCTACCGGTACGGTATGGATGACAAGCACAGACTTGCATGTAGCCTCTAGTCAATCTCATCTTCAAAGAAAACGTAGAGGCGATCATCATCTGCCTGTGCATTGAAAACTTGTAGCTGCATTGTTGGCAGAGCTTGGGCGGATGTGACGGATCCGCCCTCGCTCCAGTTGACTCCGCCATCTACTGGCTGGTTGGTATTGCCACCAGTGATAGCAAGTCAATGCAATCCAGCAAAACGCAGACCCATCTAGCATGGAGCGATTCTGCGTCTCGCTTTGATAGGATCAACTGAGTTCCGTCTTCCACATCTGGGAATAGAATACAGTAAAATGCAACCCAAGTGGTGCCACAAGTACAGCGTCGTTCCCCATGGTTGACCGAGTGGTTGCATCCGCTATCAGCAGCATACGTGCCGGGTATGCTCAGCCTGCATTGGCTCTATCAACCAGTCAGTGTAGCATGTACCGTATGATCTGTGAGTCCGGCTCTACCAACGGAATACTATCGATACTGTATCATGGATCATTCGTGGTGGTACCGGTGGGAGTTGGTTTCGCGTCACACGGTAGATCGTGCACTACAAGATGCTCAAGTGTTTTTACGAGCAGGCAAGAGCGACAGTATATTTCCGTGTTTATCCAAAACACACCGAGTCGAGTCATGGTTCTTAGTTGGGCTTAATAATGATGTTGTTGTGTGATCTTCAACTTACAAGACGTCTCTCGAGATCTCAAGATCACAAGGAAGCAAGTCCGAGGAAACAACATCGCAGAAAGGATTTTTGCATTTAAACGACTTAAAAGTCCAATGTCTTCCGGGCAATAATTCTATCGAAACCAGGGAGGTTTGTGAGTGTTTGTGCTAGCATAGTCACCCATTGGGATAACCAATGACGGGCACAATGGCTTTGCTTAATGGAACAAAAAGTCAGCAAAAGTTGAACTTAATAAATCTTGGGTTTCTTTCATTTAAGATAGTGTCTGTCGATGAAGCAGGGCTTTGCTTAAAAACCAGGACAAAGAAGAAGTGTCACTTAAAGTGACTGTGTCTCTTCGGTGGTCGCATCTCATTTTGTATTGTTTGTACCAATCCTACGGTCATTTGCGTAGAAACAGAGGTTCACTCTGAACATTACAGCCCCCTCCTAAATATCGAAAGAAATAACCATTGTGCACCATTCAGTACACTTCGAGTGGGACCTTCACGCAACGCCCATCTTGCCAAAATCCATCCATCCGGTACATGTAGACATGTAGACTACATGTAGATACAAACAAACGTAAAGCATTCCCTTTGTTCCTCTTTTTTGTTGTTGCCCAGACTCGACTGATATCGTCCCACAATTTTGTTTTCGTCTCCACAAAAGGATACCCTCTCCACTCACAAATATCGTGGCCGAATATCTTTCGACTCCCTCTCCCAACACACATAATCAAAAAGACAAAGATGAACTCTATAATGATGAGCCACAACAGCAACGACTTGACGACGAATGAGAGCAACAACGACATGTTCCTGAATGACGAAAGCATTCGTCTGGATGCCTCCATGGCATCCCAATTTGACCCCGAAGACGCAGAGACCACCGAGGAATTGGTCCACTTGTACCGTCAAGTGTGGCAAAAGAAGGTTTCTCCTCTGTCCTATCAAGAAGAAGATACAACAGTGGAAAAGAGCTTTGTCCGACGCACTCGTGCCAACACGGAAGATACCTTTACAGATGACGAAGAAGACGACGACGACTGTGGCTTTGACGAAGAACATGCCACTCCCGTGCCCTCCTCCAAGAAGAAGAAGAAGAGTCTATGGGGAGAACTGACCACCAGCATGCCTTCCAGTTCACTGGACTTGTCTACATCGAGTTTGGTTCACCAATACCTCGAAGAAAACAACAAGGAGAGTCAGTCGACTCTCTACAAGGCAATGGCCTCCAAAATCATGATCCCCACGGTCACTTACATGGGACGCAAGCTTCATGCTGACGGTGCGGGCAGTACAGCTTCTCCCCAAACTACTACTAGTACCACATCTCGTCTTTCTCTCCAGCACAAGCCAGAACCTCGCTCTTCCTTTGTGGCTCGCATGGGTCTCTCGTGGAGCAGCGGCAGTTCCTGCTCTGTCAGCAGCAGCAGCAGTCTGATCAACGAGGAAGCCGAAGAAGATGCCAAGGACTACCTGAGCAACCTTAGCGATTCCGATTTCTCGCAATTAAAAGCCACACTGCGGGCACAAGGTGCTCTTACTGGCTTGTGCACCCAGCAACTCATGTACACTACTGCCACAACAGCTGCTGCACTTGTCAAGACTCCATCTCCCAAGCGACGACGACGATCCTCCAGTCAGCACAAGTGGGGACAATTGCCATTTTGTCCGTCTTTGGTCTCCGCCACGGCCGATTCTTCCGATGACGACGAAGAAGACGACGACATGCCAGATCATTTTGTGATTAGTCAAGAACGTGAGGATTAAAACAGCAACGAGCTCGCTGGCACTGTATACCCCTTCTATATATATATATATATAGCTATGTACAATAGAACATTTTGATATTACCACCAACACAAAACACATGTATCCTATTTCACTCTATTGTCTAGCTAGACAGCTAAATTTAGAACAAAGCTACTAGACTACTAATAGACGCGGTTGGCCATGGTCAACCCTCTCTACAAGTACCCACCTCTAGCCAGAGAAAGGGGCTTAATTAATTAACTTCGCTGATGCACGTACAAGCCAGATCTAGTAGACTCCCGCTCCCCAAACCGGACTCGATTTTTTGATGTAGTTCTGCACGGGGGTCAGCGGAAGAACCAAGCGCGTGGCTTGGCGCATGTTTCTGCTCCAGCTTGCTTGCCAACAATATATATATTCGATCCCATACGGCACATTACATGCATGTAGCTAGTTTGTTGATATGGCTGGCTGATCATCCTGCTATTCGTTCCCCGGAACGATTGGCCATACCATGCCTACTAGTACTGGATGCCTGGCCAGCAAGCAAGCAAGGTAGTATACAGGTACCGTACGGAATCCAGCAACACGCTACCGTAGATGCCGAGAGAGATACTTGGATCCTAGAAGTAGCCGTTCAAGTGTTACTCCGTACATGTACTACTGCTGGAAGTGGCGCACAACAATGGCGGGTATGGTACATGTACCACACCGGTTTGTGGAGTTGTGCGGTGAAACTTGATGCACGATCGATATCTTTCCCACTCGCTCTTCTACCAGCCAATTTCGTTGCTTGGCAAGATTCAATCAGCCATAGGATAGAATCGAATCATCCACCTCTCGATCGTCAACGATCTTTTGTGAGCGGGAAGCAAGCAACCAAATCATTCCGTACGGCACATTGCCAGCCAGGGCCAGTCAAGGCAGCCTTGATGAAGCCATCGCTCCAATGGGCTGAACTCGTGGGTGTTGCCGGTAGCTAAGTCTCAGGCTAGCTACCACACGTTGCTGGTGGCAAGGATCCAGCCATCCTGCAGCTAGCTAGCTAGGTGTAGCCATGCCCGGCAATGGATCTGCGGGAAGCCAGCACCAAAGGATTGCAGTTGCTTTCGATGTTTTGGTAGAACATTTGACAAAGAGATCCTGGTGTCTACCTAGCTAGCTAATAGCAAGGTGACTTCGGCTCGAAGGATCAGGCCAAAGCCTGTATTAGAAACACACCGTCACCAGCCAGCCAGAGCGAAGTCAATAACTTCTTTTTTCCATGCGAGCTCTTGCTTGTACCGAACTATACAAAGTAGGCGACTCGACTCTTCAGGTAGGAGGTACTTTCATTACAGTAGGATGACAGAAATGCATTATGTCGCTTATTAGCAGTCCCTTCGCTTCTATGGTATGGTACAATTAGTTGTGTGCTTGGTGGTCTGCATGATCACAGCACCATTCGATCCAGACTGAGGCCAACTCCCAGTCCATGAGGCTTGAGTTGTTGGCCGTCACGCTGCAGTAGGTCTGCCCGATCATAGCTGACAGGGCTAATGGTGGTGCAGGACATGCACATGACGCACGACATGCCGTGCAAGCAAATAAGATTGGCTTGACAGACACTGCACTCAGCAACGATTGTGCTAGGTGTGCTAGATGATCTTGAAGAGCAGTCTAGACAGTCCACTTGCAGGGCCTTTCTCGTTCGTTCACGCGTGCCAATGTAAGGAACTAGCAACCCTCCACCAATATCCATGAGTGGATACCCCTCCTCGCTAACTTCAATTTGCACCCGTGTGATGGCTGCATTCTTCTTCGGCTTCGTGTCCGGCAGGGTGCTTCTGGTACCGGAAGTGCTCCTAGCTGGGCCTTGCTGCGCTTGACTGCTACCATGTGCCGGGTCGTCTTTGGAGGAGTTGCTGTAAGAGTCCCGAAGCCCGTCTGTTCTCACTTCCACTGTGATGAAACTACGTCTTCTTCCGTCGCTACTACTTTTCTCGCTGATAGGATGAGTCCTCTTGGGTAGTACCTGATCATGGCCACTACTTGCTGTGCTCGCTGATTGGATGGGGGGGATCTTGGCTGGCTTTGCCTCTGAATGCTGGCATTTTCCCACCTTTTCAGATGGATGTTCCCCTTGACCTTGATTTACCTGCCTTGTCTTTCGAGGATAATGGTCTAGGCTCCACATGGGCAACAGTGCATCGCTGCAGGTATTGAACCTGGAAATGACCTTCAGAGTTGTTTCCATGGGCGGATACAGAGAAGCCCCATCGCATCGCAGCTTTAGATTGGAAATGTCATGGTTCTCACCTTGCCAGCAAACGCAGTAGCTTGACGAACAAGCATGGTTGCTGATGTTAGGAGTAGAACAGGACATGGGCATGATGAGCATGGCGGTTGCTGATACCTAGCTAACTGGGTAAGTTTGCTTCTTGAAAGAAGGATGCTTGCACAACAATGAGAAGAGAGGGGAGCTTTTGAGGTGCTTTTGAATTGTGATTTTGTGAGGTTTGAAAGAGAAGGGCCGAATCTTTTTCGCTTCCTCAAAGCCTCAAAAGTGTTTGGCCTTGCTTTAGTACTCTTCAGTCATGGTTCATAAATCGAACCGCGTGATGCACTGTGTTGAACGCGTTGAACGTGTAATTTGTGAAACACAGCTTAGGCATTCTCCAAACAGCTATTAATACCTACTGAAACTGAGTTACTGATTCAATTGAATACTTAGTACTCAGTACCTGTATTTATTTATTGAATGGTCAAAGAGGAGAACTCCTTTGTTTCGCGTGGGGGGGGAGAGATAGATCATACTCTAGCACTTACTCGAGTACTTAAACAATTGTGACAGATGAAAACTACCTTAAAATGCCTGAAAGTGTCAGTGGGTCACCTTTCGTGAAGTATGCATTACTTTCTGTTCCCCCAAAGAGCCTATTGCCTATCTACTGCGTAAACGAGTGTACATCAAATAAATGTTAACCACCAAAAACCAGAACCATAATTCGAGCATGTACGATGCATGCGGGTAGAGTAGTCTACATCGCTACATCGTACATGGAGCCCATGAAGTACCGGTAGCCATGTACTGAGTACCTGGTACCCATCATGAGACCATGAGAGCGAGCCAAAGGAAGGTTGCAACAGAAGCTCCAGCCTGCAGTTTTTGGCAACATTAGAGTCTAGAAGAGAATAGACCAAACTCCGTGGCACTGATGGATGACCTCCTCTTCAATTATTAATTGCTTGCCTGTTGCCAGGGAGCCAACGGGCTGCCACTGCCAACTAGGTACTTCCATTTCGGCTACATGTAGATTGCTCGACCTTGGTACGAGATAAGGTCTCGAGGAGTTTCCTGGCCCACTTATTTGCTGGTTGCAGGATCTAAATTGAGTTGGTTCGAGCCAGCTGCTGTCCAGATATCATTGTTCCACAAACTGCCAGTGGTGGTACTAGTACTGCCTTGAATCTTGAATGATGGCATCATCTAGACTACATGTATATCTTTGAAATTGCGCATGGTGCTCGGTGCGTTTGGCCTTTACTGAGATGAACAAAGCGAACCTGAATGTGGATGCCGCTCGTTAAAGAACGCAGGGTGCCTGTACTTGAGTATTTCTCCTCAAAGAACCCACTACCCTCCCCTCTCCCCTGTTCTTGGAAACAAGGCTCTTCCTTCGCGAGCGGTGGTCGCTTGCACCATCTGTACCACCAATACTAGAGCTACTGGTACCACCACTTGGTAGCCACTAAAATAGTAAAATAGTACTCCGGAGTAGAGTTGGAGTACGAGTCGAGCTAGCTAGCTACATTTATTTAGCCAAACCGAGGCTGTGTTGAAGTTGTAGCTAGCTAGCCAGCTAGTAGCTGTTGAACTACATTTACCAGCTATCTATCCATTTCGCAACCTCAGAAGATAATAAATAATAATGGCCCACTGCCCCAGCAGCTTCTCTCGCTTCGAATCCGAAACTGCCGCTTAGCTGGACACGATGTTCGGTTTCGTCTTTCACCAAAGTGTGTTCCACCAGCTGTTCCACCAAGCCGTGGGAGTTGTAAGGGCCATCTCGATGATCCAGCAGGCGAAGGGTGACCTTAAATCGTTCTACTTGGCTCACAGCTTGCTGTTACTCTTGTTTTGCCCAGCAACCCATTGATTGCCATTTTAGGCCTCAAACAACCCGGGGTGCCAGCCCCATTGCAGCTAGAGAAGCTCGCTCGCCCGTTGTCTGGTTGTGCTTGGCTTTTGCCTTGCAGCCTTGCAGCCAGCCTTGTGCTCAAGCTGCTGGGGCGCGAGTTCTGGTCTTGAGGATGCCGGTAGTAGGTGACGAGGAATTGGTTGTCAGCCAGACCTGACACACAGGCAAGTGACATGATCATGGATGCACTAGGTTCTGCGTTTTCCAGGCGAGAAACACCACTGCTCAACTTGGTTGAAGCGAGCTGGCTACCCATTGGAGGCCGAGCGCCTTCCAGGATGGACTTTGAAGGGCGAATTTCATCCCGTGTGCCTGTTGACATTGCGTTCGGTACGTCGGCCTCGGCTAGCAAGTTTAAGCGTCTCCATGGCCGCTTCCCTCGATGCAGACTTGACGAATGTCAACTGCGATACCGGCAGCAAGTTGCATGTGGAGAAAACGAAAGTACATGTAGAGGGAGGAAGAACGAGGTGAGTGGGTGACATCACCCCGACCAATTTCCCAGGTCCAGTAATGCTTTAAGTACCGTACCGGTGTACGGTACCGGGACCGGACCACTGGTACCGGTAGCCATAGCACCGAATTCAATCCAATCTTCCTCCAAAACTGTACCATTTCCCTCCTCCCTCCCCACCCCACACATACCGTACCTTATTAGGAGACAGGCTCCTCGCGGTTCGTTGGTAGCCACGCCGAGGACTTCCAAGTTCAGGCCAGTTCCTATGGCCGTCAATTGTCCCATACGGTATTCAATTAGTTCGAACCAGGCAGCAGTGCTTGATGAAGGTGGAGACCTGCCGAGGTCGATCATCGTAGTCTCAACAGCAGACGTTCTTTTCTCTTTTAGACTACCTTCTTCCTGAGTAATTCATTTGGTTTGGCTGGTGCTGTCAAGATGCTGAATTATCACCAGGTTCCCACAAGTGACAACTTGGGGCAACAGACAGCTCATGAAAATTTCGAAATCGAAGCGCTGGACCACGCAGCATCTCCCTGCCCCGAGGTGGCTGCCGCTAGTATAGCGGCTGCAAACGATCCGAGATTGTGGTCAATATCCTACCAGCAGCTTCTGGATATCGAAACTCTGGCGAAGCAAATGTTTGGATACTGCGGATTTCGACGATTGTCTATGCGGACCGTGAATGATGCAATCATTATCCCAAGATGCCGTGAAACTGGGACTTCCTATGCCCTGGCATTGAATCCACAAGGCCTCCAAGTGGATGCGTTTATAACTCATTCTTGGTGCGAACCATTTCATGAATTTGTGAATTCGATTCGCAATGCGTTTCGCCCGTTTACTTGTAAACCAAATC